CTAGGAGGATACAAGCTGGTGTGTTCTCCAGCGCCAGGAAAAGAGTAACCAGCCACAAACAGTGCCAGGGAATTGCTTGGATATTAGGGAAAAGTTCTTCACCAAGAGGGCTGTCAAGCACTGGAACAAGCTGTTGAGGGAAGTGATAGAGTCACCATCCCTGGAGGTATTTAAAAGAAGTGTAGCTGTGGCACTCGGGGACTACATTTAATGCTTGGCTTGGCAGTGTTGGCTTAAGGGTTAGATTCAATGATTTTAAAAGTCTTTTGCAACCTAAACAATTCTATGATTCTATAATTGCACACCTTTTACAGACTGTCATCTTAATAGCCAGGCTTATAATGATTACCCTTTTTTGCATATTTTTCAACTTCCATTTAGGATAGAGAGCTTTGAAGATGTATTGTTTTTCCATCAAAAGCAGGGTCTCACAATACTGAGATTTGCCTAGTGTCGAGCTTATTGAGTTCTGATGCCCGAGTTAGAAAGAAGAGACTTGCAGTGTAACTGGCTCGTAGGGTCATACACTGTTACAGAAAGAATATAACTTGCATGGATGCTACCATAGCTAACATGTCTGGTTACAACTTTTTCATCATATTACCAGTAGTTTTGGGTACATCTTTGCTATCTTGACTGTTCCCATTGAAGCCAAGACAAAACATTCTTCAGAGAGGCAAAGACTCATAGTAAGTGATGTGAAAATTCTATGATTTTATGTATGTGTTATCAAGGAGAATAACAGTGAACAGCAAAATGCAAGAGTCTCTATAATGGTAAGAATTAATTCTTGAATATTTTGTGGTTTTCTTCACATCTTTTTTGATGTCTTGCAACATAAAACAAATATTCTAATAGCTACTTTTACAATATAAATGTATTTGCAAAGAAAAAATCTATTTTGAGGATCACTCTATTCCCTGACTGCCTGAAATGAAAACGAGCAGCCAAATAATTATCTGTTAATACATTTCTATCTGATTAAATGGAAAAATAAAATGCAGGAAGTATTTCTAAAGTCATAATCCTTTAACAGTCCATGGATAGAGAAAAAAGGAAGGCAATAGATAAGGAGGAAAGAACTTCAACAAACTATTTTTGCTCTTGCTGCTGCTTCTGTGAAATCATTTGTAATTGCTTCATAATTTGGTTTTCTCTGCAGCTGTGCTGTTATATTTGAACTTCTTTAGCCTACAATTTTGTGGTATCTATACCAGAAACTGGAGCAACAGTTTTTTGCACTGGAATTAGATATACCCCATTGATCCAAGTGAACAATACTGACTTTATCAGTACTGAAATAACTGAAGTTCTCAAAAGTCTCTTTAGCACTCCATCTTGTCTTTTAATACTGCTTAAACCTTAGATGGTCCATGTTTATGTTACCTTTGTTATTTATGTTAGCTATGGCTGTTCAGAGATTTTAAAGCAACACTTTTATGAGTGCAATGTGCTTTAGAAATTGTTATTGCTGCCATTGTTCATTGCTCTTATCATTGTCTTTGAAGTAGCAGTATCTGTGTCCTCCAAATAATTGTCCTCAACCAATCCAGCAAGTAATACATCTAGTCCTTCATATTTAATTTATGTTTGCATGCCGTTAGAAGAAGAGCCTCTATTTATGTCCTGATTATTTAATAAAGCAATGCTTGCAGGGAAAGGAATAGAAAACACTGAAAAGAGAAGACTGTATTCTAATGATGGGCTTTGGACTTTCTTGGACAATGAAACAGTTTTTTTGTATTCTGAAGTCCAAGGATGAAATTCATAGAAGTATGTATCATATTCTGAGTTTTTTGATCTGCTACATATCAGAAAATATCTGTAAACAGACAAGAGCCTATTAAAAAGTTAATTAACTATAAGAAGTTAATTAACTATTAGGCAACTGCTAAGTGGGACCATAATTCATGTCAAATGAGGTGAGCTCAGACCTCTTTTATCAGATTCCAGTCTCTTCCACAAATCTGGTCCATTCCATTCCATTCCATTCCATTCCATTCGGTTCCGTTCCATTCCGTTCCATTCCGTTCCATTCCGTTCCGTTCCATGATAAACAAAAAACCACATCAAAAACCTTTAACCCTTCAAAGTCAGCAAAACCAACAGTTATCAAGGTCCAGTAAGAAGCTTAGGTAACACTTCCAAGTGCAGTCAAAGTAGAAAAAGGAAATAACTAATTCTGTTTCCACTACTTAGATCAGTTACTGATGTGAGATAGAGAAAAAATAAATGCAGAGTCTGAAGGGACTTGAAGAAATGGCATTCTATTTTGCCATGAGGCTATTTCAATGTGTTAAAAATTATGGCAGTGTAGATGGATGTAATGATCAAGTGAGGTAGCCAAAAACTTCCAGTAACATAAGTTTACCACAGGTTTCTGCAGTATTTTCTGTAATAGTTACTATGACTGTTTAAGGATGTTTGCAGGTGTAATAGAGATGTGGGTAAATATGTATATCAATGGTTCACTGTAGTTCCTGTGTTCACAGATTGTTCCATAGGTTTGGTTTTTCTCCATGGCAGGTTATGGTTTGCTCCCTCATGATGGTTTCTTCGGGCAGTTATGTGTTCAATGCTCTCCTGATTTATATAACTCTAAAATGAATAAGAACTCCTGCATGCTGGGACATGGAAAATAGTAACCACATCTGAGTTTTGGGGTTTTTTTTCCCAGATTTTAACCCATATTATGCAATTCAACAAATAGATTTGACACAGTATTGTATTTTAACTTCTAAGCCTAGGGCTTCTGCTTCCTTATAGATGGGTTAACAGTCCTGTAAGAATAGGGATAAGAATACTGTTGGATAGATTATGAGTATGCAGCAATATCCTCCTAGGAAAGGAGGCCATAATGTCATTTGATGCATCAGTATTTGTGAGAATAAAGTATTTGAAAATACTTAATCTTACAGCACAGCCCTTCCAATTCCAGACCAAGGCCCGGGAAAGATCCAGTCCTATGTTTTCATGACAGATTTTAATTTTTCATATCAGTTAATGACTGTTTATTTACACAAAGTTCTGGGTAGGACCCTGTCTGCCAAGATATGAGTGTCACTACTGATTATGGCAGTCCTCTGTGTCTTTCTTGATTCATGACATCTGGGGATTAGGAAGTTATCAGCTCTTTATTTATGGGAATTGTTTTTGCCTCATGTTAAGTCATATATTGTTATGTGAATAAGCAGCATGCAAATGGATAGATAATAAACGCTGCTGAGAATGTTTGAATGGATATTGCCAAAATGGTTTCAGCCAAGTACTGTTAGTCATTAATTTATCCTTCTCTTCCTTTTTATAGGCTGATGTCCTGTAGAAGTTCTCTGATTTCTTCAGATTTTTATAGTTTAGCTTATTCTACTCCCGTGTTCAACATACATTAAGATATTCGCATAAGAATAGGTTCTTGCTGATAATCAGCATGTTACCATATATAAAAAATAAACTTAATCCCTGGGATTGGAGTATTTGTTTGCTTCTTAGGACTCCTGATTTCTCTGACTTCATTCACTTCAGTGCATGTTGGGGTAGGATCTTTTTTATCCAGCACAGGAGTATTTGGTCCTTGTCACAGACACTTGGGAACAAAGGATAAGGATCGCCATAGACACTTGGTTTCTGTGTGTCTCATGCTCTTGCAATGGACATATTCCTCCTGATTATTCACAGTCCCTCTTGGCCAAAAACAAAAGCAAAGCTGGTTCCTGAATTTGAGACTGTCTTTTGGTAGAAGGACAAACTAGATTTTGATTCCTGTGTATATTTTTGTGTGAACTGTAAGAAACGCTGTTTTAAAAAAAATATAAGTATTGAATATATTCATATTCAATATATTCATATACTCATCTGAGATTATTCTCTTGATATTGAAATAGACATTCAAGATTGTTAATTTGTTAATATACTGATTGTTAATATACTAGAAGTGTTCAATGTAATGAATGTGCTTCCACTTTAGTTAGCAGAATTCATGTTTTCAAGAAGACATCAATTAAGGCTCATACAATTTCCAAAGGGATAACATTTTTGGGGTATGGATATTAAAGCAAATATAAAGTTCATAGAGGGACAGAAGGCATAAAAATGAGATTTACTTCAGATAGGCACCTAATTGTTCAGATACGTTTATGAAGTTTGTCAGAGTAATTATGTAATAAGTAAAAATCTTGTGAGATCACATGTTTTTACTCAGATTAGATCTACCTCGATAGGTAGGTTAGGTTTTCTAAGCAGTCAGGAGGGCAGATATGCATGATACATTTATCTTTTCATGTCAGAGCCTCCAGAGGAACTCTTGATCAGACAGGGCATCCACTTTTGAATAGAAACATAATACTGTATTTTTTTAAATCACCATAACTGGCTCTCATGTCCTTAACAGGGATGTAATGTTAAGGAAAACAATGTTTCCCTCAGGACTGGTTTCTCATTTAGTACTTCAAAAAAGTTGCATGTCTCAAGGGAGTTCCTAAAGACATCATCAACTCCGTTTTTCCTTCTAGTCTCATTTGTTTTGATGTTATGAATCCTACAACTCCTAACATATCATGTGAGGCTGCTGCAGTATATGCTTTTGCTGCAGCTGAGATGTGAAAGAGGGATCCTTGTTTAGGAATTACTACTGCCCCTTGCTCAGATGTCCCAGCCATTTTATTGCACACTTTACATCCAGATTTTCTTGTTTATCTGGCAGTTCATTATTTAAGGCCGGCTTGTCAAAATAGGTTAAATATTCTTTGGGAAACATGTTCACATCTTTGAGACACCACAAATACTTTAAATATTAAGAGATTGGCTTGATAAGAGAAACATGATAAACTTACATCCCCTAAAATACTTCTCTGCTTTTTTCATGTTTATTTCTAAGTGTATCAGTACACAGACGACAAACTTCATGGCAATAAAGTCCTGGAAATGCCACAGAGACACACCAGCAGTGAAAATGATTGCTGATTATTTGTTCTAACCGCTTGACCTTGTGACATCTCCCCCAGATATATGACCAAGATGGGACACTGCAGCACTTTATCGATGGTGGAGAACCCAGCAAGTCAAGCTGGATGAGGTACATACGATGTGCGAGGCACTGTGGGGAGCAGAACTTAACGGTGGTTCAGTACAGGTAAAGTGACTTTTGATTCACCCAATGACACAAAATGAGAATGTTTTATCAGACTGTAACCATCAGGAGTACTGCTGCCTTTGATTGCAAAGCCAGCACCAGAGCTTTGGAGGATGTGCTCACGTGGAGCAGCAAGCGCAGGGTGAAGCTCCAGGGAGCGAGGGCAGCTCTGTGTCACTTGTGTGACCACCACACCACACCACACCACACCGCACAGCGCTCTCTGCACTTTTTCAAACAGTCTCATCAGAGGCAAGCCAACACAAGCAGTTCTCCACCCTTAATAGAGACGCAAGTGATAGGGGAGGGGGAAAAGTGGCACCCAGAGGCTTCCTGAGGGTCAGTCACGAGGTGTATACACATCTCGAGCTTTTTTGTTGAGTGCACCTGCCAGCCAAGATTGCTAGAACTTGTACCTCTTATGTTGCTGGCTAGAGAAAAACAAAATGTGAAGAAAAATGTAAAGAAATTATGGTGCATTTTACTTTGTACTGGCAAATAGATCCAGAAAACCCAGACAACACATTACATAAATACATGATCTCAGCTATAAACAAACCTTTTGCCTTAGAATCAGAAGCCACTGCTTGGCCTTATTAAATGTGGTAGGAAGCACATCAAAGAATGCCCCAGGCTTGCCAGTTGCAGTGAGCAATGATTTTTTGCTGGTTGCTTTAGAGAGCAGAGTTTCTTTTATTTAGGAAAAATCTTAAACTTATTTAAACTACCTTTAAAATTAAAAATAAAACGTACAAAAGCAAGCTAAAATGAAATATATAAAGTTTGATTATCCCATAGGGATCCAATTTAACAATGGTAAAATTGTTCAGTTGCATTTTCAACTTTTTTTATTCTCTGGCCAGTTGACTAAACAATGCTGCAGTTAAAAAAATAACAATCCTATTTATACATTACAAATCTTTTATTATATGCTTAAATATCTGCTATCTATAGCTAAAATACCATAGGATTTTAAATAAACACTCTGGATAATGAATAAAGATTGTTGTGATGAAAGACTGTTTTTGTAGATATCTTGTGGACTATTACTCTATTTGGTGATGTGTGCGTGCACATATATATAAAAAAATAAAAAATATATGCGTATATATATATATGACAAAGCTAAATGAAAAGTTAGCATGAGAAAGTCATTACACATCTGTCAATATTAAGTGGATTTTACAACTCTCCTTTCATGATGGAGTTTTTACTTAGAGTTCCCTCTGTTGATCTGTTTTCGATTACTTCAGATCTTTATAAAATGAACTACAAAAACACAATTTAAAAAACTGGCATCCATCACCAGTGACTGCATCCAAGTGTAAGAAAATAGAAAAGTTGGACACTGAAAAACCAGCCTAATTTTTATTGTACATGGACGTCCTCCTCACAGAAAGTCAGCTGGTTTAAATTCATTCTGTTATGATTTGTAATATCTAAATGGAATTTTCTTCAAAGTGCTCTTGATTGATTGACCCTTAGCTGAACGTTTTGTTTTTATTTTGAGGCTGACAATAATGTTTGTTGGCATGTGTTCTGCTTCAACTGCGTTGGGACGCCATGAAGCTATCTTTATGAGTCATCCAACCACAATACTAAATACATGTCAGCAAAGGAAATATTATCCGAAAAGGGAAAAATCCCTTTGATGTACTTCAGCATGCAGAGATTTCTGCGAGTTTTGGAAGCTCTGCACACTTGTAAGGGACGGTGTACACTTACACTTTTTTTTCCCTGCCTACTCCAAGCCCCACAGACCACCCATTGCTCAAAAACAGTTCTGCTCTTTCAGCGGCAAAGTGTGTCATTTGGTTTTAGCACATTCATTTGCCGGGCTGCTGTGTTTATGTTAAGGGAAGCCAAACTGAGAGATGAAATGTTACAAGGGTGAAGTACAAAGTAGACTCAATTTTTCTCAAGTTAAGAGATGCCGGTAATTTATAGCGTGGCTCCGATTTTCATTTTTATGTAACAGTGGAAAGAATTAACTAAATGCAAAGCCCTGGGAAGAAAGAGAGAGAGAAGAAGAGGAGGAGAAGGAGGAGGACGGAAGATGAAGAGGAGACACAAAGAGGAGAGTTTTTGTCAGATATTCATAGAAGACTAAGAAAACCATTCTGCTTAGCTAGCAGTGCCCTCCTGAGACAGGGTGGCAGTAAGCGAGGAAAATAACAAGATAAATGAAATTTTTGCAGCTGCTAGTAAAATATTGAGAATCTGCACTTTTTTATTGATCTTTATGATCCTGTTGCCAAGAGCCACTTTGCGGTGACAAAATATGTTGACAAGTGCATATCTCACTGCCATGAAAAATGTGGTAGAAGATTCTCCTTATGTCTGCAGTGTTATACAAGGAACAAATTGCATTGCTACAGCCAATTCTTTATAGAAAGTCTAAATTTAAGGCCTACCAACCCTAAACACTTTTATCTTGAACTTCAGAATAATGTTTGTAGCAATTCTTCACTGAGAAAACTGGTTGAGGCCTAACTTCTTTTATTTTCTTATATTTTTTTTGGTCTATACGTGTTTTTCTGCCTTACATAAGCTGTTATAAAAAATGGTCATTTCTTGGTACTTTGACTGTATCACTTTGGTATGTAATCCTTCAGCAAGAGTCGACTGTTCTTCTTGTATATATTGAATTTCTATCCATCTCACAGGAGTGTGTTTTACTGTTCCATGTGAAGCGTAAGGGAAAAGCTACTGCAAACTGATAACATTTGTCTTTTATCTTGTGCCTGATTCTAATCTTGCACAGTTTTTGCTGCCATGTAAATGTCTTAACTGCTGAAGTATCACTCTGAAGCTATTTACATCAGTGCAAGATCAGGATAAAGCTCTTGTTTTTATGCTAAAGACATCAGGATTTTTCCCTTTCCCCCCCCCACAATTCCCACTTCAATGGTCAAGAAATACCCAGTCTTCTCTCACAGGAACAATGAGATATCTCACTTATGGTTATGGTAATTTATACATTCTAAATCACTGGCACTGCCCTCAGGTTCCATATAGGAGAAGATTTAAGCAGTGCATGGTCCAATTAACCCAAATTTTTTTATTTCCATTATGTCAAAGTCTGTTTTTCTCAACAGCCCAAGATCTCTCATTTGATGGTATATTACTGCCATGAAAGGTCACTTGACACTCCTTCAAAAGCCTTGCTAGATGAATTTATTCACATAAAAGAGTTGTCTATTTACCCTAAAATGTGTTAACTTTAGCTTAGATGACAAATACAAAGCTGTTTAAATGTCTGTACTTGCTGAGCTGTGTACACTACTCAGATGGTTAGGTATACTGTGTAAGCAAAATGTGTCATTCTAAAATCCCCCTGAAACAGACCTTGCAGGAAAACACCTGTACTTTTATAATGTCTTAGTTCTTCTAAAACCTTAGTATTTAATATATGCTAGATACAACTTTTTTGTAAAGTTGTTAGCCTGTGTTACAGGAACAAAGTCCTTCTCTAATGAGAGATTTGGTTTTGAAACAATCAGTAGATTATTCGTTAGTTATCTGCAGGAATGCTTCCAAAACAATGATTTTCTACTGTAAAACCGTGTGCTATAAGATGAGAATGCTCTATTCCTAAATTTTGCAATGTTTTCTTTTTTCTTGATTAGGTCAAATATATTCTACCGGGCTTGTATAGATATCCCCAGGGGCACTGAGCTGTTAGTGTGGTACAATGACAGCTACACATCTTTCTTTGGAATCCCTCTGCAGTGCATTGCACAAGATGAAAATTGTAAGTTCTTCTTTGCATTTCTACCTGTGTAAACCATGATTCCTCTTTCACGCCTAATCAGACGTATCATAGAGTATTTTAGAGGGGATTCTGTCCCTGGAACTTCAACACCAGTCCAGGATGGAGCTTTAAGCAACCTGTTCTGGTGGTGTCCCTACCCATGTCAGGGGAGCTGGAACTAGATGATCTTCAAGGCCCCTTCTAACTAAAACTACTCTGCGATTCTCTGATTCTACGGCATTTAATGAAAATGGTAGTGTATTTAAGGTAAGGTGATACACTTAAACTGTCAAAATTATGGTGTGGTTAGAATCACTGTTCTGTATTAGTGATTAATTAATCTATGATAAACAAGTTTGTTTGGTTCTCCGCGTTGTTACCAGACCTATCACAAAACACTGTCTTGGCAAAATGTAACGCATTGCAAGCCCACACGGCCTCTGTTGGTGATTCTTTTTTTTTATTACATCTGAGAATGTTGAGAAAAGCTTTGGCTGGCTGATTTAAGAGGTTAGAGCCTTGTGGTTAAACATAAAAACCTACTTTTAAAAATACCAACTGAGTGTAAGCACCCTGAAATGAAAATAGATCTCTATTCCATCCCGACCATCCCCATTTACATCCATTCTTTTACCGTTTCTCAACCTTTTATTTCTAGTTTTCTAGGGAACCTCACAAAACTAAGCATGCATAGTTATTGATAACACAAGCACAGCCTAGTGCTGGATACCTTTGTCTGTAATAGAGATGGGTGATCCAGGCACATCCTTCAGTTTTACTGCGTGTGTGTGAGACTTGTTTAGAACTTGCACCCATTTTTGCAACTACGTGCATCTATGTAGTGGAAGAAAACTATAATGGACCCATTGACTTTGGTCTAAAGTAACTCTGTGACTGCCCACACTTGATAAATTATGTATAAAATGTATGGTTTTGGTCCTGTACTTCGATATTTAAACAGGATGAACTGCTAGGAGGAGCTAGTGTCTTGTAGCAGCTTAAATACTGAATCATGAAGCAATTAAACAGCAAGATAGCAAGGATTAAACTGTCGAAAGTAAACATCCTTTCCCATCTCGAGTTTTCAAGTCTGTTGGGCTTGAGAAAAGTTTAAAAGAAATTTAGTTACTGACAGAAATATTTGCTGATGAAAGTCATGCTCTGCAGTATACAATACAGAAATATTATTTTTTCTTTCAGGAACCAAAGACTACAAAACTTTTATTTGAAAAGAAAAACATTATGGCTAAAATCTGTAAATATTATCTCTTGATATTTTTCTGTGAGACAAACCCGACTTTCATCCACAGAGACACTGACATGAGTAGATTAAATTAATCTGACCATGGAGCCAGCTGCAGACTGGTATAGGACTTCAGTCCCACTTAAACTCCCAGAATGTACCTTCTGCTTATCTTCTGCACAGGGGTATTGTCAACAGCACGAGTTCTGCCTGTATTCCTTAGGACCTTAGTACCCTGATCTCATTGCTTCTATAGACTTTTATGAGTACAATTTAAAGAAAATAAAAGAAAAAAGTGATCTGCTTCTTCTGAAGAGGCAAAATGATAGTATAAAAATTGCTCCTGGTACTGAAGAGATGTAGAAGATATATTCTGTGTCTGGAAACTTTTGAGAGACAGCTTCATGGACGTAACTGTATTTAGGAATTAGGTTCTCAGATACCACAAAAAAGAATAGATTCAGAAGGACTTAAACTGCCATAAATTGAATATCTTGTAATAATATAATATGGGAATCATTATGAATGATCATAGATATTAGAATATAACTCTAGAGCAACTGGCATGATTTAAAATATTACCCAATATTAATTTCTGGGGCTATTTTTGTTGGTTTTTTGTTTCTGTTTGTTTTTGTTTTTTTAATATGAAATAATGTTGGCCAATTCCAGCTTACAATTAAAATTTAATTCTTATGTTTTCTCTTAGAAATCTATCATCATGGCTTACATGTGTACATAGACTTATATGTACATGACATATTTAATTTAAAAATGTCCATTGAAAAATCAGCTCATGAGCCTGAGTGTGCCAAAATTAGAAAGCATTAGAAGTTGTTTGGTCCAGGCAACCTAAATTATGTTTATTTTTGCATTGTGGTGCAAGCTTTTGTCAGCTGACTATTTTTCCACAGGACCCTTGCCTCATTCACTGCATGACCTACATGGTTCTCAAGGTGTGAGGCAGCTGTTCAATTTCTACTTGCTTTATCTCCTGCCTTTCTTATCACAAAACATTCAAATTCAGCACTAAATCACTTATTTGTGAAAAGCATATTGCATTTGTTGCTGAAATATCTGAGTGCCTCAAAAGCCATAGTTAACTGAAGATCATATGACTAGAAGCAATTTTCATGGGACTGAGAAAACATTTTTATGCCTGTTCTTTATCTGGGAAACTGATGCACGAAGATCTTTCTGCCTGTACTTTGCAGTGTTTTGTGGTGACCTACCTGCTATTAAGCTCAGGCATAAGATACATGATGAAGTCCCTGGTTTCTTACTGCATTGGCAGTGTGACTATTTGTGAGATGTAATAGTATAATATCCTTAGAGGCCACCCTTTCGTAGGACAGCTATTGCTGCAGTAGATATTTAAGCCCTGTTGTATCTCAAGGAGTGTCCCAACAGAGATATTTTTTCTCCATTCTCTCAAAATTCATGCTTGTCTGTGATATAGAAGTCAGCCATGCTGACTGCAATATGAGGAGTCAGGGAATCACAAGTGGTGCAGCTTTTCCTTTCCGATGACAATCCCGTAGTGTAATAAATGTATATCACAGTCAGGCTTCTCTGGGTCCTTTCAGTCTCAGACAATCCCTTGCATGAATTTTCATTTCAGTGTCACAGAATCAGCACCATCCATTCAGACCACTCATTCATGTCCTTCTTTCCTTCTCTTTCCCCCTTTTCTTTTTTTCTCTTTTCCTGTTTCTTTTTTTTCTTTTTTTGTACATTATTAAAATAAAATTGTTTCATTGTAGTGTCAAGAAAATGGATGTTGATTTTTTTTTGGTGTCTCCCAAAATTGTATTAGTTTTAAAAAGGCATAAAAAGGATCTTATTTACTTTTCTTGTTTTCTCCCAGTGAATGTCCCTTCGACTGTAATGGAGGCCATGTCCAGACAAGACACCCTACAGCCATTTAATAAAAGTAGCAAACTCTCCCCTGCCACACCACAGCGATCCGTAGTATTTCCACAGACTCCGTGTAGCAGAAATTTTTCTCTCCTGGATAAGTCTGGGTCCATCGAGTCAGGATTTAACCAGATCACTGTCAAAAACCAACGAGTTCTTGCAAGCCCAACTTCAACAAGCCAACTAAATTCTGAGTTCAGTGACTGGCATCTTTGGAAATGTGGGCAATGCTTTAAGACTTTCACCCAGCGGATCCTCTTACAGATGCATGTGTGTACACAGAACCCCGACAGGTAAAGCCCAGGCTCTCTTTATTTCTGTATCTACTGATAGCCAGATCCACTGCTTTCTTCTTTTATCAAGCTGTTATCATTTTCAAAACCAAACCATTATTATGAGGACCCTGGATGACATAATTCATCTGCAGCTGCGTGAAGTAAGCTGATAAAAATTATTGCTTGCCTTCACTATTTGTAAAAACATTCAGTGCCTAAATGTGCAGATAAAAGGAAATAGCTAAGGATATAATCTTGTTTTTAGAATGGTTTAGTACATCTGATGAAGGCAACAAAATAGAATGAAAATTTATGGATATCATAGATGGAAAAAAATGAGGTCAAGATAATTAAAAGTCTCTCTGTCTTCCAAAGATAATCTAACTTGCAGCTCAGTGACTGTCACAGTCATTTCAGGGTTCACCTATAGTGTGCAATGCGTATGAACTTAATTAAGTACTAAGAGGTAATGAATTGGAATTTTTTGCTTAGTACTATTTTTCTTCATAGCATGCAAACCCATAAATCGTACAAAGCTGTCAAAAGGAAATACCTACTCCACCAGTGATGTGGAGGAAAACAGATGCCACTTATTCAATAAACTAATATCCACACAGAAGAAAAATGTTGACTAGATACCTCAGAGTCAAAGTTGGTTTGAAAGTTTGTCAATACAGAATTTTATGGCTGTGAACTGAGGATGAAATTTAGCTGAACAAGTGAATTAAAATTTCAGGTACTCTGACCGGTGGCACAGTAAATATAATGGAACCATTATTTATGAATCAAAGCTGGTTTATTTGACAATTCTGATAGCTGGCAGGACAAAAGACAAAAATCAAATTAATTCAATAAAAAAGGCTGCCCATGTTTTGTCTCTTCTTGGGCTGTGAAGATTTGAGCAGAACAGCTGAATCCCTGGAAGGTTGTTCTAAAAGCAGATTTAATTGTGAATTAAAGTTAACAAAACACTACCAAAAAATAGCAAAGAGTGAGTCTGTGTATGTGTTTGTGTGCATGTCTACGTCTCCTTGTGTACTTTGTGTACTATCTACGTGTACACATATGCTTGTGTGATTCTATGGGTATGGAGAAAGTCCATTTTCCAAAAGAAATGTCAAGTATGTTAGGGACTACTCAGATTCCAAGCTAATATTCATAACAATTAAAAAATTGATAATATTTTGAATGCAAACAAGCCCTTTCAACACTTTTCTGGATTTTATGCTTGCCTCAGCGGAAGCAAATGCCTTGCTAAGGAAGCTGTAGGACAAAACTGGTAATTTCATGTGTCACAATGCAGAATATAGGTCCTGAAAGGTCTGCTCTCCTACATATAATGAACTTTTGTGTTTTCAGTATTAAAGTGCCCTAAACAAACTGTAAAAGATAAAACGGTGCATCCATCTGGAAGAGTCTAGAGAAAAGGCATGTTGTGAGGCCCTCCACATACTTTTTCATCCAATTATACATCCATACTGATTCATCCAATCATCTGTGACATCTAGATTTGATCCTTTACTTGAACCTGTGTCTATCTTTATGAAGAAGCGAGTTGCAGTTAGATACTTAGAGCAAGAGGAGTCTCTCTTAATGGCACTATCTTCCACTCTAAGTGACAGCTAAATATTCACTTTGCCAAAGAAAGAAAATGAGGATAAGTCTGTCTTACCATTAAATATTTTGTCTTGGTGATGACAGATGAATTTTTAAAAATTAATCCTATTTTTTTTTTTTTTTCATTTATTTCCTCCTAAGAAGCTTGTGCCAAATATTATCAGAAACACGAAGTGGATTTTTTGTCTTCACTCTTAAAAGTGAACATTCTCATTAGTAGGGTGCTGATTGATGATATCTTACCTCCTGTGCCTACCCAGCCAGCAGCTTCCTCAGGAAACTCTGGAGCATTGTCAGCTCAGAATACCCTAGGGCATAGTAGGAAATAATCTTGCTATGATTAAGGTCATTGCAATTCATTCCATGTTTGAAATTACCATAAATAACAGGTACAGGCCTTGGATATGGGTTCTCATATCTCTGTGTAGAAACCATTACAGTTTGAGCTTACATCACAGGAAACTTTCTGTCTTTTAGCAGGTACCAGTTATTTAGAAATACAGTGTCTAGAAAAAGTAGCCATTGGTTTCTTAAACATATTGCACTTTTCTAGGTGAAAAATTTTTACAGTGTTGTGCAAAATTACCAGGAGACGTGAAAGTTAGGTGTGATTTGTGAAAAAATAGGTATTCTTTCCAGCCCAAACAATTGGATGCAACTCTCTGGTTTTTATTTTCTCAATGACATCTGCAGCACCGCTCCAGCTGCTAAACAACTCCTTGTTTATTGTCAGCAATTTGTGAGCACACCAGTCACTGCATCTTTGATGTGACTGAAGCAGCAGAGCCTGTCCCCTCTAGGAAATAAACTTTAGTCTATCTGTTCTGGCTGAGTATTTGTTTTGCAGCAATATTGCGCAAAGTTTTCCCTAAAACACCTTTAAATCTGTACAGGAGTCCAATTCATAGTCTGAAATTTGAGAAAAACAGACTACTTGAAGCTTGAGAAATCCAAATAAAGATAATACACCAACTTTTCATAGGTGTTAAGAAAACATCTAAATGAGAGCAGACACAAAACAGGTCGTAATACACATAATTCGATGAAGTAGTAAGAAATAAATGATCCTATTTAACAGGCAGATCACTTAATAAATAAAAAAAAATAAAAATATTATTAATTCCAAATAGGATAAATTCTTAAAATCATCTGGTGTGCTTTTTATTTTATTTCAAGATTAAGATCTTAATTTAAAATAACTTTTAATTATTTACTGGTTTACTTATATACTTCTCCCTTTCCACCAATTTTTTTTTTAGTTTGTTACATTTTGTAGGGCTTCTCTTTGAAATTAGTGGTTACTGGGGTTGAAGTGAGTGTGCAAAAATCTTCAAAATCTTGAACTTGGGGGCATTCTGAACCTTTGAGACTTTTTTAAGCCTTAACCAGACAAAAGCAGTTTGATAAGATATATCTGGAAGCAGGAGTTGAAAATCTATTTTCGTAGGGTTTTTTTTTGTTTATCCTGTTGGGGTGGGGGGGGGTGTTTTTTGTTTTGGTTTTTTTGTTGTGGTTTTTTTTTTTTTTTTAATTTTTATATTATTATTTCATTCCTTTTTGCTGCAGAAATTCCCAACAATCATGTTTGGAAGGCTCAAAAAGGGGGTAACCAAAACTCTTTATTACAGTGAGCAATTTTTAGAGAAGGGTGATTTTGGATTTTTTTAACAGTAACCATTTTTCTGATAATGACACATCTTTTTTTAGTGACATCACTCTTCCATACCACTATGATCACCAGTTTCAACATACTTTGGTGTTGAGGAAAGGCAGAAGTCTTCAGTTCTCAAGAGTTTTGTGTGGCATAATTTTATGTACAGCCTGTACATCTGTGTGATATATATTCCCATTGATTGCCAGGTATTCATGCTGAGATTCTCAGAGAGAGCACACTTCATAAATGTGTTCATGGGTGATAGATTATGGGTGTGATCTGGCACTCACAATTCTTTACTCAAAAGACATCGTTATGCTCATGTTTTGCAGTATCACTTCAATATTAAATAGTAAGCTTGTTTTGTTTCATTTTGTTTTGTTTTGTTTTTTTAACAGGAAGTTGAAGTTAGCAATTTAATAGATGTTTTTCTCTAAGATCACGGCTTAGTCCATTTTGCATTTATATTTTCTTTACAGGTTCTGGGTCTTTGACCTTGACTTAAACCTCTCCAAAGCAGACTTAGACAAAATAAGAGTTTCGAGCAAGAGTTGTCTACTTCTGTTTATTGAGTATTGCTCATTCAAAACAAGCTTCATGGTGAATTTAATGCTGGTTCTTGCGTAATCTTTCCATAAAGGTCTGCAGGTGCCCGGTACTCAGAGTTAATAGCAACAGCAGGTTCACAGAGCAGCGACTCTCCCTGACGGCTTCAGAAGCTTGCAGATGCTCCAGGTGTGCTGGCTTTCTGCTTTTGCTAGCTTCTTCACAAGCATTTGTGACAGATGATGGCAGAACTCCCAGCAGGTCCAGCTCTGCATCCTTGCTGCTGCATGGTGCCTGAGGTGCTGAGGACAGCAGTTGTGCTGCCTAAGGGGAACACCAAGGCAGCAGGGAATGTGGAGTCCAGAGCCACCATGGCTCTGCTGATGCTAGGGATGTTTCTCTGTGCAAGTTAGCAGTATCCTGAGGCATCACTTTGTGCTCCAGCCTTAATTCAACTTGCTAGAAGAAGGCATTCCTGAAAAAATCTTCCTATGGGAACAACTGTGACCTAACTCCTGACTGCAGCTGTGCTAAGAAAGCCATGCATTGTTTGAAGGCATGGTCCTGAAAGCTGATGCTAGTCCCAATTCAGCTTGCCCTGCTTGTGGGGCTTCTAGCAGAGGCTGTGGCATGGCAGCCTCTGCCCTATAACAATGAGAAACACTGTCCTGTTTCTGTGTCCCACTCTTTGAGACCGTGAGATAAATCACCACTTCCAAACCCATGAGCAAAGAGGAAGTCAGGCAAAACTACCAGGATGCCTGCATGGAGGAATAGGGAACTCCTGGATGAATTCAAAGACAAAAAGGAAGCCTCCAGAGGTTGCAAACCTCAAACATACAGGTAACCTGGGAAATATACAGACAGATTGTCTAAGCAGTCAGGAATCCCTTTGGCAAAGCTAAAGCCCTGATAGGATCAAATGTGGGCAGGGACATCTAGGACAACAAAAGCTTCTGTTGTTACATTGGTAATAAAAGGAAGACCAGGGAAAATGTGGGCCCTCTCTAGAAGGAAGCAGGAGGCCTGGTGACCTGGGACATGGAAAAGGCTGAACTAGTCAATAACTTCACTGGCAAATGTTCCAGTCACACCACCCATGTCACAGAAGGCAAAGGCAGGGACTGTGAGAATGAAGAACTGCCAGCTGTAGAAAATCAGATTGAAGACCATTTAAAGAACTTGAAGACGCCCAAGCCCA